CAATTAAGCAATTGAAAAATGACTAATGTGAATTTTTTTAATTTTATTTCATTTTAATTACTTAAATAAAAATGGAAATAGCCACATATGGCTAGTGGCTACTGTATTAGATATTGCAACTCTAGACATCTTTCAGGTACATTTCTGGGACTAGCCAGACTAAGCAGAATGAAGATGCATTGAAAGAGAAATGTCCATAAAGCCCCCAGTACAGTCCCTTGAAAATTCCCTTATTTGTTCATTCATCACATTTATTTGGTGTCTACCATCCATAGGTACTACCTCAGGTGGCGCTGTGGTTAAGAGCTTGGCTGCTAACCAAAAGGTTGGCAGTTTGAATCCACTAGCAGCTCCTTGGAAACCCTATGGGGCAGTTCTACTACGTCCTATAGGGTCGCTATGAGCCAGAGTTGACTCACTGGCAGTGGAGTTTACTATCCCTAGGTACTATCTCAGGTGCTAGGGATACAGGGAAGAATTAGGCACTGTCTCTGCCCTCAGGGAGCTCACAGCCTAGTGGCAGATACCAGATACATGATTTCACCATAACGAGGTAAGTGTATGCACAGGTGATGTGGGCGCAGCCAAGAGGTCTCTAACCCACCTGAGCAGTTGGACAGGGCTTCCCAGAAGGATGTTTTAAAACCTGAGCTGAGTGTTGGTGAATAGATCTCATTCAAAAAAAAAAAAAAAACCATTGCCATTGAGTTGATTCCGACTCATAGCAACCCTATAGGACAGAGTAGAACTCCCCCATAGAGTGTCCAAGGAACGCCTGGGGGATTCGAACCACTGATCTTCTGGTTAGCAGCCATAGCACTTAACCACCACACCACCAGGGTTTCCCAAATAGATCTCATAGTGGGGCTCAATTGAGATTTATTCCATTTACAACAACCAATTATATTCCAGGTCTACTAAGCCCACCGTTGACTGAGGTAGCTGCAATGTAAACATGGCCCTAGGGAAAACTCATAGCTAGGGCCAGTCTGTTTTTCCTAAAACTCCCCCTTTGTGTCTTCTTTGTGTTGCCTAACTCAATTTCTCTTCCACAGTCACATTCTCTTTCACCTGAGGACGGTTTTTGACATTGTATATAACCCTACTGTTTTATTAGTAGTCATTAACCTTGAGTGATTTTTCTTGGGCAGATGAACTCTGTTATTTACAAGGTGGCATCAACTCCCACTATGATTTGGTTGTGGAACTCTGATACTTGGTGTAAACAAACAGCTCCATGAATATGGCCATACATGAAGAAGCTGTTACTGATTGCTTGAGCTGCTGAATCTAGCTAGTCCTGACAGTGATGCGCGTTCATGAGAGAGAGGGTTATTACAGTCACTTCTGTGGAAAAGTGGGATGTCGTGGACATTTATAGATCTTACACAGTACTTTGTGTACGGGTTACTATGTGACAATGTCTAGCCAGAGAATTTTGCAGCTGACATTTGCTCACATAAAAAGAAGTACACCTTTATACTGTATAGTTTCCATAATGACACTTGTGTGTATAAAGCAGAATGACATGTGTGATTCCTTCTCTGTTGAGGCCAGGAGGGTGATCACGTGGTTGTGTGAGGCCTAGGCCTATCTGAGCTCCCAGGTATCAGCTGGTTTGACTTACGATGGAGTTGTCTCTGGTGGATGCAAGTGTATATTGGTGTAGCCGTTTCTAAAAGTGGCTCGTCCTATGGATTAGGAGCCTTAAAACATTCATGCCCTTGGCTCAGTGATTGCGCTTCTGGGACTGCATCCAAAGGAAGTAATTAGAAATGTGTGTGGTAAAGACTTTGCTCAGGGATATTACTGCAGTTATTTGTAGTTGCTAAAGACTGGAAACAACTTAAATGACTAACAGTGCGATAATATACCTCCATGAAAACGAAGTTCGTGAAGGACTTTTGCTACAATGCTAATTAAGAAAAAAGCAGAGAAGCAATCACTGCAGAGGTTAAGCAATCACACTTCGGAGCTAGACCACCTGGCTTTGAATCCTGGCTCTGCCACTTACTAGCTGTTGTGACTCAGGCAAGGCGCCTGAACTGTCTCTGCAACCCCAGAAAAACGGGGCTGATAATAATACCTGCCTCAGCGGGAACTGGGAGGACTAAATGAGATATTGAATATAAAATGCCTACCACAGTGTCACACACATTTATTAGGTACCCAATAAATGGTGGCTGTCTATGGATTGTATGATTTCAAGGCATACAAATAAATGGAAAAGGAATATACCCACTTATTAACAGTGTAGTACCTGGGTAGTGGAATTTGTTTGGTTCTTTGCATACTTTTCAACTTCCCAAATTTTCTGCAACGAACATGAGTTACTTTCATACTAAGAGAGTACATCATAATGATGTAATATGATAATAATTTTTTTGCTCTTTGCTCCACATTCTCTCAAACATTTGGTACGATCAGTCTTTTTAATTTTAGCCATTTTAATAAGTACGTAGTGATAATGCATTATGGTTTTGATGTGCATTTCCCTAATGACTAGGGTACTGTGCATCTTTTTATGTGCTTATTTGCCATTTTTACATCTTCTTTTCAGAAGTGTCTGTTCAAATATTTTGCTCAGTTTTTAGATTGGTTTGTTATCCTTCTTATTATTGACTTGTAAAAGTCCGTTGTCATGTATAAATATTGTGAAGATCTTCGGCCATTCTGTGGCTTATCTTTTACTTTTTGAAACTGTGTGTTTTTTAGGAGCTTTATTTAGATATATTTGACATAAAATAAACTGCACATATTTAAAGTTTATAATTTGATATGGGTTGACATATGTTATATGTGTAAAATCATCACCATGATCAACATAATGAACATTCCAAAAACAAAACCAAACCCACTGCCATCAAGTTGATTCCAACTCACTGCGACCCTATAGGACAGAGTAGAACTGCCCCATAGAGTTTACAAGGCTATAACAATAAGAATGTTTTAAAAGAGTTTTACCTTCATAAAGCAGCAGTTCCCTTCCCTCTTCCCTCTTCCTTTTCAGGCGAGGAGCTGGGGGGCAGCCTCACAGCAGACTGCCTCCTTCCCCAGGGAGCAGAAGGAGAGGGAAGGACTGCCACTTTCTGGCTTCTTCCCTGGCAGAGCCCCACGTGCACAGCCAGGACCTGGGCGACTGTCAGAGTTGTCAGCCCTGCAGCCACCTGTCGATGGTGCTGCGCCTGGGGGTTTGGGGGCTGGAATAGATGAACTCAGTAGTTCAGTAGTTTCTTCTATCTCTGAGAGTCTAGATTGCAAGAAGCTCTGGGGCTTATCATTCTTACCGCCCCTCACCCCTATGTCTTGGTTGAGTTGAATCAAACACTGACATAAAACTGTGAGGTGACAAAAACTCATCCACTCGCTTCCCCTCCCAGAAAAACAGCCGTAATAATGCCTATAGTGCTGGACGGATGTAAACATGAAGGGTGGTTAGCAAAGAATTAACTCCGGTAAAACAAAGAAGTTAGCTTAGTTACAGCCGCTTTAATGAGAATAATTTATATTCCAGGGGAATCTCCGGCAAACACAGCCCTTTTTAATAGGACAAACAGCGAAGCACTTTCCCACGTTAGGACACACCCCTGCGATGAGAGGGACATAAGGTTGTGCGTGTGTGCGCGCGCGTGTGTCTGCGCGCCCGCGCGCGTGTTCCTTCAAACCTCAACATTTGCTCCTAGGATCTAATGTCCTTCATTGACAACAGGGGTGCCTGTGCTCCAGCAAGTGGCTCTGCACTGCATTTTATAGACAAGAGTCCCAGGCACAGAAAGAATGAAGCCATTTCCCCCATCCCAACCCAAGGGCAGCTTCTAGCCTGCCTTCTGACAGCCGCCCCCTCACCGGTGACTCCCCTTGGTCCACACCTCCAGACCCTAGGTTCGTTCCCCCAAGTCCCCCAAATGGAAGAATGACAAACAGCCTTCCTAAGCCCTCCTCCCGACAGAGAAGTCATCGTATGCTAATGAAGCCGGGGGAAATAGCAGCGCCGCCCTTCGGAGCGCGCCCGCTGGTTCGCAGCGCTCCCGCGCGCCACTGCGGCGCAGCCACAGATCACCGCGCGCTGCCGCAGACTCTCCCGCCTCGGGGGTGGCGGGGAGCCGAGGGTCACCCGCCACCCTGACTTCCGCAGCTGGACCGCTCACCTCTGGGAGATAGCTCCTGGCCCAGGTCCCATGCTTGTCTCCACCACAGAGCTGGGGAGGGGAGGCGCCCCAAAATCACCTATAGGGCTTTTTCGAACTCCACAGCCCCTTCCCCAAATTCTAGTCCACTCATCCAGAGCGAGTAAATCTCAGAATACGCAGGGCGAGGTGGACGGGTAGAGTCTGGGAAAGCCCCACAGGTGACTGTGGATGCGCGCCCCTTAAGATACAAACACAGACGCACGGACCCAAACCTTTTGACTCTGAGACTAAACAGGTCAGGCTTAGACTCTCTCCCTGGTCCTCCCCTCCTTCCCCACCTTATACTTAGCAAGGTGTCCGTATTCTCAGCTTCCTGTAACCGCCCCCGCCCCCAGCCTCAGGGCTTCGTGGCGGGCGCCAAAGTCCTGGAACCCCGCGGGACAAGCAGAGGCTCTGGCGGCCAGAAATTAGGAAATGCGTCCTCCACTCCCCGTTGCCCCTGTGTGACCTGGAGCGTGAACTGCACGCTGAGGAGCGAAGGTGAGACCGGAAGGGGAGAAACCGGACCAGTTGCTTCAGCAAACTGCCCGGAGCAGAGCCGCCTCGGCCCGCGCACCTTTGGGGCTTGGGGGGGGGCCTTCCAGTGGCAGAGGGAGCTGGCGCCCCACCTCGCGCCCCTCCGCGCGGGCGGTGGACTTCTTCCTTCAAGGGCTTTGCGGCAGGTGGCACCTCAGGATGGACGTAGTGGCCTCAGCTGCAGCCCCTTTCCTGGCCACGGAACCGGCTCCCGCTTTGCCCTGCTTTTGCCAAGTTGCTGCCGCCCGCGCCCCAGAGCCGAGACCACCTCGGCCGCGCCCGCCTAAGTCTTACCTCACCACGCAACACTTGGTTGCTCCGCTCTCCAGAGCGCTCCCTCCTCGGCGCTTATTCCCTTACTTGGGAGGAAAGAGGAACCGAGAGACAGAAGGGGGACCGAAGCTGGCGTCTGGGCGGCTTACCGCCCGCGCAGCCCTCTCGGGGAGGGGGACCGCGGCCCGGTGGGCGCCGCGGAGCTCGGCGGCCCGGCGGGGGACAGGCAGCGTCGGGGTCGTCCGCCCGCTCGGGGAGTCGGAGCTCCAAAGCAGCCTGCCTCGGCTGCCCGCTCCTACGGCACTGCGGCTCTGCGCCCTGCCCCTCGCAGCCTGGCAGGTCCAGCTGCCACTCTCCCGGCAAAGCCCTGCCCCCGGGCGCAGAGCCCGCCCCGCCACACACTCGTGCGCGCGCGTACATACGCGCGCGCGTACACGCAGAGATGCGGATCCGCTCGGGAGAACCCAAGCCTTTGGTGCAACTGAGGCGCCAGCTGCGTTGGGGCGCATCTCAATGATAGGCCTTCGTTTTTTGCTTAGAGGTTGTCCAATGAGGGAAGCCTGCGAAGGTGGTGGACTCCGGGGGGGCCCCAGAGGTCAGCTGACCCCGGAGGTTGTCCTTGGAGGTCAACTGTTTGGTAAATAAAATGCCTCCTCCGGACGTTCTGCATCTCAACTAGGTCTTGCTGCCTTATCCCCGCCGAATCAGAAGAAAAAACAAAAATAAAAAAAAATCAACAAGTTCTGTTTCCTAGAATTTCAATGTGTCTAGCACAATGTTCTAGCCTTCAAATTGGAGTCCTTGAGCGGTGCAAACAGTTAACAAACTCACGGCTAACTGAAAGGCTGGTGGTCCGAGTGCACGCCGAGGAGCCTCGGAAGAAAGGCCTGGTGATCTACTTCCAAAAAATCAGCCGCTGAAAATCCTATGGAGCATAGTTCTACTCTGACACAGACGGGGTCACCATGAGTCAGAGTCAGTTCCATGGCAACTGGTTTGGTTTGGTTTTGGCTTAGTCTTCAATCACGACCCCTGTCCAGGGGAACATGTCTGACACCCTGATCCCCACAGGCAGGGGATTAGTGGCTGTTCAGCGGGAATTCCTGCAGTATAGTGGGGGAGACGATTGATTGCTGGGTCGGGTCTCAGGACTGAGGTTTGGTAAGTCCCATTCTTCTTTGCTCTGAGGTGACTGTTTTCCTGCAGAGCAGATAGACCACTTCTTTTTTTTAAAAAAAAAAAAAAAAGCAGAAAAAGGACTGAGGTGAGGGGTGATGGATGGGACACAATCTTGGCCAAAGCACTGAGACTCGTTGCCTCCTCTCTTTCCATGATGTGCATGTCCACGTGGGAGTGGTGTTGGTGACACTATTTCAGTCCCGTCACACCAGCAGGATCGCTTCTGTCCATTTTGCACCACATTTCGAATTATCAGGAGTTTGCACTCTCATCTGTAAAATATGTGGCGTTTACCAGTTTCCACGGCTGAGAGTTCTTTTCCGCCAGCAGAAGTGAAGGTCCCCGGGCCGGGACTGCAGCCAAGAAAAGCTTTCTGCGAGAGTGCAGAGGCGCCGAGGGCCCTGGGTGTCTGGGCATTTGGAGAAGAAGCTTCAAACATGAATGTCAAATAGCCCTGAGACCCTACTGGTCGGTGTCCATATTGGGCCATCTGCAGACAGGCTGATGTGACAGATGAGGAACCGAAGTTCAGAGGCCTCCCCAACTTCCCACATGGCAATGAAGGCAGAGCCAATACCAGGACCACGTACTAACACTTGGTTCTACCATTCACCATCCGCACTTCGTTCTCTCCCCCTGGGCTGGTCCTCAAAGTTCCCTTCAGCTGGACTGAAACAACCAGGTGAGAGCATTCTCCAAGGTTTTTGTTTTTAATCTTTTCTTGTTTCCCTTTCACTCATGACTCATTCATTCCACAAATACTTACTAAGTTCCCACTATGTGAACGGCTAACATGCTCGACTGCTAAACTAAATATTGGAGGTTCAAGTCTACAAAGAGGTGCCTCGTAAGAAAGGCCTGGTGATCTACTTCTGGAAAATCAGCATTGAAAACCCTCTGGAGTGCAGTTCTACTCTGACACACATGGAGTCGCCATGAGTCAGAATCGACTCAATGGCAACTTTTTTTTTTTGTTTGTTTTCAGTCACTTTCCCAGTCCTGGACTTACACTTGGGAGGAAAGAGGAGCCGAAAGACAGAAAGGCCTTATAAATGTCCCCATCCGTGGTAGAGGAGAACACTGGAAACAGGTTCCCTGTATATGTTTTCACTGTGCTAGATTGAGTAGGGAGCCCTGGTGGCGTAGAGGTTAAGAGCTTGGCCGTTAACCAAAAGGTCAGCAGTTCAGATCCACCAGCCGCCCCTTGGAAACCCTATGGAGTAGTTCTACTCTGTTCTATAGGGTTGCTATGAGTCGGAATTGACTTGACGGCATCTAACAACATCAAGGTTGAGTGGATGAGGAAGGCACAATCCTCTGTGAAATAAAACAGACTCATGTACAGGTAACAGGAAAGACATTCTTGCTATGTCTAGTCCTGACTCCTTCTAAGGAAGGCCAGCCAGAATGAGGAAAAGTGTGTGTTTGATGGAGCGTCACGGTGGATTTGAGGTACCTGTTTGCAGGTAGCAGTTGGGGCAACATGGAGTTATTCTGCCCATTAGAACAGGAAGGACTCAGGTTGGCTGGAAGGCATGGGGAAGACACCCAGCGGTGAGCGTGGAGGGTTGACTTGGCTGGGAGGACACTGAGGAATGATCATGGGAGAGAAAGTCCCAGGGCAGGGCTGCCAGCAAGGATTTGGACAACACAAATTCTTGCAAAGACCGGCAAACAGTTTGCTGCGAGGTGGGCTATGCCGGTCCCCGCCCTCCATCTTTTCTATGAAATGAATCACTTAGAAAGTCCATGTTGTTCACCAGTTTGTCTGAGAATGGATTCCCTTGGGGGAACTCACGGTGGTGCTGAGTTTAGCATCCGAGTTGATGAAGGATGACTATAGAGAAGCCTGTGTGGACAGAAGGCTGGAGAGGCTGAAAGACGGCTGATCTCTGGGTTACCTGCTAATTGTTGGGGTGGTTTGGCACCGGTGAGTCAATTCCAACTCGTGGTGACCCTGTGGACAACAGAATGAAACACTGCCCCGTCCTGTGCCATCCTCACGATCATTGCTGTTTGAGCCCATCGTTGCAGCCACTGTGTCAATCCACCTTGTCGAGGGTCTTCCTCTTCTTCACTGACCTTCTACCTTACCAAACACGATGTCCTGGGGAAAACCACATGGAAGCTCTGTGGAAGGCAGAGTCAGGTGAGGTGGGAAGAAGCACAAAGAAGAACAGTTAATGCTGATTGAGGCATCGTGGAGGAGGTGGGATTTATGATGGGATTTGAAAGGGGAAGCAGGATTTGACACAAAGACCAGCAGGCAGAGGCCACTCTAAAATTAACTGTAATTGAGTTGACT